GTCGGAGATCAGGTGCTTCTTGACACGCGCAACTTGAACCTGTCTCACCTCCCATCCAAACTCCGGCCTCGCTTCTGCGGTCCTTTTCTCGTTGAGGCTCAGGTGACACCAGTAACATTCCGCTTGCGCTTACCAGATACATAGAAGCTTCACAACGCTTTCCATGTTCAGCTACTGAAGCCCTACAAGGACCCCAACCAACAGTTCCAGGGACGGCAGCTACCGCCACCACCACCTGTTCTCTTACAGGATGAACCCGAGTACGAAGTGGAGCGTGTTCTCACTCATCGGCGCCGCGGCGGCAAGACCCTCGAGTTCCTGATCCGCAAGAAGGGATACGACCCCACTGAGGACAGTTGGGTTGGAGAATCTGATATGGGCAACGCACGCCGTGCTCTCAATGACTATCTTGTCAAGCAGGGTGTTTCTCACGCCACCCAGCTTTGAGGGGGGGACGTGTGAGAGTACGATGGCTTATGCTGGCTTTGCTAGCTTGCCTAGACTTTATTATGCTATTACTAGCTTGGGTTTTATTCATCATGCATAGATATGCTTGATTTCCTAGGTTAGGTGCATTCCTATACTTTATTATATTTATAGCACCGAACCAGGTTACGTGTACCGAACTCAAGCCTATTCAGTTTCCACCGAATTGCTTTCAACTGAGTTCGGGAAGGTTCTGTTCGGGACGCTTCGCGACCCTCAGAACATTCGCGTAACACCTGGGTAACTGGCCTTGTGTCGAGCCTATATATAGCCTCGTCTTGTACCCAGGTGAATCATTCAATTCACATTCTCTTTTCTGAGCTCGATCCTAGATCCTCACAGGGGCAAGGCCGTCAACGCTGTAGGCCAATCGAACTGTGTCCGTAAGCTGAGCAAAACACTGACCCGGTGGGTAGCTGCGGCCACAAGGCTGGCCTCGGCGAGCACCTGTCAGAACGTGATAGGTGTAGGGAGGGTGGACAACACCGCGCTACAGCTGACGTTGTACCGACCCCTGCCCCGAAACCTGCTGCTGCCGCTGCTGCTGCTGTGGGTGCTGCAAGGGGAGGGGCTGCCGCTGCTGCTGCTGTTGTGGCTGCTGCTGCTGCTGCTGTCGCTAAGTCAAGTACCACGCCGCTGCTCCACCCCCTGCGGCTGGCTGACCAGTAGGTGGCGGACGAACCCGTGCGTCACCTCCACCACCTGCAACAGGAGAGTCACTGGCCGCTGCACGGGGCGCTCCTCTAGCCCCTGCACTCCCGCCGCCGCCGCTTGCCACGTCACCCCGACCGCCTCCGCCCACACCGTGACCGCCCCTCCTGCCACTCCTCCTACCCGAGATCGCGAAGAAGTCGTAACAGCAGCTGCGGTCACGTCAGTAGTGGCAGTGGCAAAGGAGGCAGTAAAGGTGGGCAGCTGAGGGACAGTGCACCCGTGAAACAGTGGAGGGGGCACAGCACCAGAGGCTGAGGCTACCGAGCGGAGGTTGCTCTCGACGTCCTTGAGGGCAGACTCAAGGACCTCGATAGTGCGCTCGCTAGGGTGCTTCATAAGAAGTGCGTCACAAACCGAGGCAAGGCGGTCAGGGAGGCTAGTGGCGACAAAATAGATGGTAATCGCCATAGGGGGAGGAAGGAGTGGAAGCTGTGCGTCAGTGCAGGCAGCGCGGTAGCTAGAATCGAGCGAGCGGAGGTGAGCAATCAAGTCAGCAGAGCGCTCGAACAAGGCGAGATCAGGAAACAAGAACGGGAGGAACAGGCCACCAAGAGAGACAGTGGTGGGAGTAGCGTAGCGGGCCTTGATCACAGTCAGGAACTCACTAGCCGTGCGAACCTGAGTGAAGTGGGCCTCCTCAGACTCAGGAGGAGGCTGTTGAGGGCGATGTAGGCCGCAGCGTCACGCGACTTCCACGCTGTCAGGTTAGCACGCTCGCAGGCATAACGGTGTCTGTCAGCAGTGCTGGGGTCAGTGCCTTAGGGTGCAGGGTCGTCGGGCTTAGGAAGGTCGCCGGAAGCGTGCGCCCATAGAGACTCATGAGCCTGAACCTGACTCTCTAAAAGACGGCGCGCGCACGAAGGAGCCAGACCGAGAACTCGAGCGGCCTACCCTCGGCGTCAAAGCGCAGGACCCTAGGGGTCGCCATAGCAAAAGCAAAGAGGTGGGAAGTGCTGCTGCTGAAACCCTAATCACTGAGGGACATAGGGTAGGGCGCTACGGGACATAGGTTAGGGCGCTACAGGACACAGAGTAGGGCGCAACACTGCTGGACTAGGAGGGCGCATCGCCACGGGCAGGGGTAGCGCGACCGACAAGCAGCGCGACGCGATGCAGCGGGACAGGATGGGCAGCGCGGCGCGACGCGACGCGACGGGACGGGACGGACTGTGCGACGCGGACGGGCAGTGCGAAGCGGACGAACGGGACGGACGGGCAGCGCGACACCGACGGACGGGACGGGACGGGACGGGACGGGACGGCGCGACGCGGACGGTGCGACACCGACGGACGGTGCGACGCGGACGGGCAGCGTGACGCGGACGGACGAACGGGCAGCGCGACGCGATGCAGCGGGACAGGATGGGCAGCGCGGCGCGACGCGACGCGACGGGACGGGACGGACTGTGCGACGCGGACGGGCAGTGCGAAGCGGACGAACGGGACGGACGGGCAGCGCGACACCGACGGACGGTGCGACGCGGACGGGCAGGGCGACGCGGACGGACGGGACGGGACGGACGGCGCGACGCGGACGGGCAGCACGACGCGGACGGACGGGACGGGACTGACGGCGCGACGCGGACGGGCAGCGTGACGCGGACAGATGGGACGGGATGGACGGCGCGACGCAAACGGACAGCGCGACGCGGCGGGACGGTTGGAGCGACGTAACGGCAGGCGCAGCGAGCGCTAGGGCACGAGAGCGACGTAACGGCAGGTGCAGCGGACCCTAGGGCACGAGAGTGACGTAACGGCAGGCGCGATAGGCGCTAGGGGACAGTACGAGCGTAACGGGCACTAGGGTACGGGACAGGCTCGGGCGCTACGGACGTGAACGAGAGGAGTGGGATCCCACACGATCCTAACCTATGTGATACCATGTCAAGAATGAAAGTGTTGGTTTGACTAAGGTTGGTTGGGGTACATAAACCTAACCCTAATATTTGTACCCCCTATAACACACATCACTAAGACTACTAGTGGCAGGATTAGGTTAGGAGCCTTGGGTTCAGGGAAGAGGAATTTGGCCAACAAAGAAAGGGGTTCACTATAGAGAGAGAGATACAAGATATGGGGCAAGGGAAAGTGGCCAAGGGGGTATACCACCTGTCAGAATCCCAGCCACTAGACCACTGGGATAAAAGGGCTTATTTTTGTAGCGGGTAAGTGCGCCCATAGCCCCCCAGGCCAACGTGCCCGTAACCCTTCCCTAGGATCAATCGAGGATCACTAGTGTGTCACAACTTATATGATCTAGCCTGTGTAGGCTGTAGCGGGTTAGCTACTAAGGGGTACACAATTCTAGGGTTTCACATTTGTATCACTTTCATTCCTTAGTCAATCCATTCTCGTTCTAAGTTTCTCATGGTATCGAGCAGGTTCCCTAGTGGGAACAGTCCTAGGGCCCACCAAGATCGAACTTTTTTTTTCCTGCGCGGGGCGTGCGTTGTCCCCTGCCCGAGGCGCGCCTAGTGTTCTGCCCTTAGCGGCCCGTCGCGCCCTCCTTAGCGGCCCCGTCGCGCCCTCCTTAGCGACCCCGTCGCGCCCTCCTTAGCGGCCCCGTCGCGCCCTCCTTAGCGGCCCGTCGCGCCGCCCTTAGCGGCCCCGTCGCCGCCCCTACCAGCCTCGTTGCCGCCCCTGACGCCCCCGTCGCCGCCTCCCTCTTTCAGCGGCCCCGTCGCCGCCCTTTAAGCGGCCCCGTCGTCGCCCTTTCAGCGGCCCCGTCGCCGCCCTTTCAGCGGCCCCGTCGCCGCCCTTTCAGCGGCCCCGTTGCCGCCCTTTCAGCGGCCCCCGTCGCCGCCTCTTAACAGCTTCGTCGCCGCCCTTTAGCGGCCCCGTTGCCGCCCTTTTCAGCGACCCCGTCACCGCCCCTTAGCGGCTTCGTCGCCGCCCTTCAGCGGCCCCGTCGCCGCCCTTTTAGCGGCCCCGTCGCCGCCTGTTAGCCGCTTCGACGCCGCCCTTCAACGGCCCTGTCGCCGCTCCTTTCCGCGGCCCCGTCGCCGCCCCTACTCGGCCTTGTCGTCGCCCCTTTCGGCGGCCTCGTCGCCGCCCTTCAGCGGCCCCATCGCCGCTCCTTCGCGGCAGCGATGCCGCCCTTCACGGCCCCGCCGAGCCGCCTTCGCTGCCGAGCCGCTGAGCCGCCGAGCCGCCTGTGCCGCCGAGACGCCGAGCCGCACTGCAGCCGAGCCGCCAGGCCGCCGCAACCGAGACGCCGCCCTCACGGCAGTAGCGGCCCTGTCCCTGCCGGCCTGCCCCGCACCGCCTCACTTGCCTGGTAAGCGCAACGCCTCTGCCACTGCACTGCCCTACCCCGCTGTGCTCACTGCCTGTCTACTGCTGTCATGGCCACCCCCAGTGTTCTCACCTTTGACGGTGAGGGTCGGGCTGTTGACTTTGAGGTCTGGGTAGATGATCTGCAGCTTTTCCTCCAGTGCGATAGTGCAGACGGTCTCTCCCTGTTTGACCTCACTTCTGGTGCCTCTCCTGCCCCTACTTGCTGATGCTGACGCCACTGTTCGCTCACAGTGGGCCACGCACGATGCTGCTGCCCGCCTTGCTGTTCGCCGCCACTTACCAACCGCTGAGCGCGCGCATTTTAGTCAGTACAAGCGTGCTAAGACCTTGTACGACGCTGTAGTTGCACGCTACTCTTCCCCTGCCACTGCTGCTCTTAGCCGCCTCATACTACCGTTCCTCTTCCCTGACCTCGCCGCTTTTCCCACAGACCTGACCTTATTACACACCTTCGCACTAGTGACATTCCCTACCGCGCTGCGCTTCCTGCTGAGTTCTGCCCTATGTACATCACCCTCTACTACATAGTCACCCGGCTCCCTGACACCCTTCGCTCGGTCAGGGACCACTTCCTCTCTGTTTGCCCCACCACTCTCACCGTTGACCTCCTCGAGGAGCGCCTCCTAGCAGCAGAGAAGAGTAAAGTCCACTGTAGGAGCCTCTCGTGGTGACCCTCGTACCCCTATCTTTGAGGGGTGCTCCCCCTCCCCCCTCTTGCCCTCTGTTGCCTCTGCTGCTGCAGCCGACCTCGTTGGTCTTGAGTCGGTCGGCGCGGCGTCTGCCCCTAGCGGGGAGACGCCTCTCATGCAAGGGCAAGGGGGGCAAGGGGCGCTGGAGGAGCTGGCGGGGGCGGTGGAGGCGGCGGTGGAGGCGGCGGAGGGGGTGGGGGTGGCGGTGGGAGTGGTGGCGGTGGTGGGGGCGCTAGTGGCGGCAGTGGAGGCGGAGGAGGCGGCGGTGGTGGCGGTGCGGCGGAGGTGGCGGAGGTGGAGGCGGTGGTGGAGGTAGCGGTGGCGGAGGTGGAGCTGGTTGGGGCGGCACTACGCATAGGGTCGACTCCGGTGGTGGTCAACGCCAGCAGCACCAGCAGCAGCGCACTCGTGAGACCCCTTCCCCCCAGCACCTTCATGAGTGGTACACTGCTCGTCAGCGGGGTGGGGGTGCTGGCCCCTGTACCTACGTTCTACGTACCGTCGACCGCGCGGGTGAGCAGTGTGGGGGTCCGCACTCCACCCAGCGCTGCTTCGGCCGCCTCACGGACGCTTGGCGCCATCAGCTTCCCTGACGCTACTCAGATCCCTCGCTGGGGCGAGTTGTTTAGGGTGGGTGTTCCGATCTTTGATCTTGACTATGATGCTATTCTTGCTGCCATATATGCTGTGACTATTAGTGATGAGGGTGACTGTTACCGTTGTTTTCCGCCTGACCTGGGCATTGAGGCTGCTGCTCTAGGTGCTGGTGAGGCTGCTGCTCTAGGTGCCAGTGAGCCTGCTGCCCCTACTGCTCGTGAGTCTGCGCTCTCAGGTACCGCGTCGGCTCCGGCCACCCACACCTTCACCCTTGACTCGGGTGCTTCCCGCTCCTTTTTTTGAGACCGCACCACGCTTATGTCGCTTAGTCGGCCAGTGGCAGTCTCCCTGGCAGACCCCTCTGGGGGTCCTATCCTTGCCCACTTCTCCATTGTTCTACCGTGTTCGGCGGCCCCTTCTGGCACCGTGTCAGGTCTTTACCTCCCCTCGTTCTCTACGAACTTGGTGAGTGGTTCTGACCTCCAGGATGGAGGGGTTCATCAGTTTACTCCTGCGAGTCAGCAAGTGACCCACTGTACCTGTGCTCGGACGGGCCGTCACTTGGCCACGTTTACCCGTCAGCCGGGGTCGAGCCTGTACACACTGACTACTGAGTCTCCTCCGGTCGTTGAGTCTGCTCAGGTAGCCGTGTCGGGTCAGGTGTTTGCTGCGGCGTCCAGGTCTGGTCCTGAGTCTGCCCCCTGCTCGTGTCGTCTCCTGTCTCACCAGACTCTCCTCTGGCACCACCGCCTTGGTCACCCCTCCTTGCCTCGTCTTCAAGGCATGGCCTCCCGTGTCCTTGTCTCTGGTCTCCCCCGATCCCTCCCTCCCCTTCCTCCGGGGCCTGCACCCACCTGCGTTCCCTGCGTCGAGGGGCGGCAGCGCGCTGCTCCTCACTCCTCCGAATTTCCTCCGACAGAGGCTCCGCTGCAGGCGCTTCACATGGACGTGTGGGGCCCAGCCCGCGTCCGTGGACAGGGTCACAAGCGTTACTTCTTGCTGGTGGTTGACGACTACTCGCGTTACACCACAGTCTTCCCCTTGCGCAGCAAGGGTGAGGTCACTAAGGTGTTGATCGCCTGGATCCGCGCAGCTCGCCAGAGAGAGTTTCGGCTCGGACTTTCCTGTTCTACGTCTGCACTCAGAGGCGGAGAGTTCTCCTCTGACCTTCTGCGAGCCTTCTGTCGTGCACGAGGCATCCGCCAGACGTTCACGCTTCCGGACTCTCCGCAGCAAAATGGGATTGCTGAGCGCCGCATTGGCATGGTCATGGACGTCGCTCGTACGTCCATGGTCCATGCGGCTGCCCCCCATTTTCTGTGGCCGTTTGCGGTTCGGTACGCGGTGCATCAGATCAACCTTCAGCCCCGGGTCTCCATGCCGGAGACCTCCCCTGCTTTGCTGTGGACGGGGAAGGTTGGCGATGCGTCTGCATTCCGCATCTGGGGATCTCGGGCGTTTGTTCGCGACTTGTCTGCGGACAAGCTGTCCCCTCGTGCTGTTCCCTGCGTCTTCCTTGGCTTCCCCCCTGACGCGTCGGGCTGGGAGTTCTATCACCCCACCTCGCGCCGTGTTCTGTCCTCCCAGGACGTCACGTTTGACGAGTCGGTTCCCTACTACCGTCTCTTCCCCTACCGCACTGCGTCTCCCCCCCCCCCCCGCCGCTCTTCCTTACGCCAGGTCCCCCCTCCGGTAGACCCCCTCCCCCCTCAGGGTCCTGCCCCGTCAGGTGTGTCTCAGGTAGACGCAGTCGACCCTGTCGAGGTAGCTGTTGACTCTGGTGCTGCTAGGGGTGCTGAGCCTGCGGGTGCTGGGTCTGGGGGTGCTGACTCTGGAGGTGCTGAGCCTGGGGGGGATGACTCTGGGGTGCTACGCTTAGGGGTGCTGAGCCTGGGGGTGCTACGCCTTGGGGTGCTGCGTTTGGGGGTGCTGAGCCTGGGGGTGTTGCGTCTGGGGGTGCGGAGTCTGAGGGTACTGGACCTGCTCGTGTGGCGTCTAGCGGTGCTGAGCCTGGAGGTTCTTCGGGTGCTTCAATCCCGGCGGGAGCTACTCTCTCCACAAGAGCTGCGTGAGTGGTTTTGCCCGGCGCTGGAGGCGAGCTGCTGGAGCTGGGGTGCTGCGGGTGCTGGAGGTTCTGCTGCTGCTGAGGGTGCTGGTGCCGCGGGTCCCGGAGGTGCTCGTACTGGGAGTACTGGAGCTGCAGGGCCTGCGGGTGCTTCTTGTACTGGAGCTGGTGGTGCTGCGGGCGTCGGTGCTATTGAGGGTGCTGGAGCTGGACCCGCTGCGTCTTCTGGTGGTCCAGCTGGAGCTGCAGCTGCTAGGGGTGTTGGCGCTGAAGGTGCCTCTGGTGCTGGTGCCTCTGAGGGTACTGGAGTTGGCGCTGCTGGAGCTGGGGGTGCTGCTGGCACTGGTGTTGTCGTTCGGGGTGCTGGTGCTGTCCCTTCTGGTTCTCGTGGTGCTGCGCAGCCGCAGCCGTACTTTGTTCTGCTCCTTGAGCAGGTTCTTGGTCTTCCGCCCTCTGCTAGTCCAGCTCCTCCCTTAGAGTGTCCACCGCCAGTCCAATTCGAGTCACTGCTACAGCCTACCTCTCCTCTGCCTGCTCCTTCTCCCTACACTGGTCCTACTGGAGGTCTTGCTGAGCGTCGTGAGCCTGCGTCTCGTCCTGCATTGCCTGTCCGTGCTGCTCACACTAGTAGTCGTGGTTCCCGTCAGCAACCTCCTCCTGTCCCCGGCACGCACCGTATGTCTCTGCATCCCTCCACTGCTCCGCTGCGTGCCCCTTTGCCTTCTCCTCCTGAGTCCTCTCTTTCTGTTCTTGCGGATCCGGAGTCGGACTCCCTTCGTGCTGCCAGTCCTACTGTCACGCGTCTCCTTGCTACTGTCGTCACTGACCATTCCTTTGAGTCCGCTGCTGCGTCTGCCTTTATTTCTGAGCTTGTCGACTTCGCTGCTCGTTGTCGCCTAGACTACGCTACTAGTCTTGTCGCTGAGTCTGAGTCTGTCTGTCCTCCGTCCGTCGGGGGTGCGTGTGCCCTTGGCATGGACGTCCTTGAGGACAGGCAGGAGGAGTTCCAGTAATTTGCTGCTGCTTCACCTCATCTCGTGTCCATGCTGCTTGCCCCTGAGTAAGACCCGGATGCACCAGACATCCCGACTCCGCGCTCTTACGCGGAGGCGATAGAGGGTCCCTACTCCTCTCAGTGGCAGGCAGCCATGGATGCAGAGATGGCTTCATGGAAGTCCACAGGCACCTACGTCGACGAGGTTCCCCCTCCTGGGGCGAACATCGTCAGTGGCATGTGGATTTTTAGGGTGAAGCGGCCACCGGGTTCTCCGCCTGTCTTCAAGGCGCGCTACGTGGCTCGTGGCTTTAATCAGCGGCAGGGAGTTGACTACTTTCAGACCTTCTCTCCCACCCCGAGGATGACCACTCTTTGGGTACTGCTGCACATAGCCGCTCACCGTTACTACGAGCTTCACTCTCTTGACTTCAGCACTACTTTCTTGCAAGGCAGCCTGCACGAGGAGATCTGGCTGCGCCGCCCACCTGGCTTCACTGGGTCTTTTCCTCCTGGTACCCAGTGGAGCCTCCGGCGGCCAGTCTACGGTCTCTGCCAGGCACCTCGTGAGTGGCACGACACACTGAGGACTACGCTTGCGGCTCTTGGGTTTGCTCCCTCTACTGCCGACCCGTCGCTGTTTCTGCGCACCGACACTTCTTTGCCGCCGTTCTACATCCTCGTGTACGTCGACGACTTGGTCTTTGCCACAGCTGACACTGCTGGACTCGCCCACGTGAAGTCGGAGCTGTAGAAGAGACACACGTGCACAGACCTAGGTGAACTGCGCAGCTACCTTGGCTTGCAGATCACCCGGGACAGAGCACAGCGCACCATTACCCTGACTCAGTCACACATGGTGCAGCAGGTCCTTAAGCGCTTTGGCTTCACGTACTCCTCGCCTCAGGCCACTCCTCTGTCTACTCGCCACTCGCTCTCAGCTCTGCCTTCGGATGAGTTCGTAGAGTCGAGTGGCTCGTACCCAGAGCTTGTTGGCTGCCTCATGTACCTGATGACCTGCACACGACCTGACCTTGCATACCCTCTTAGTATTCTCGCACGCTATGTTGCTCCTGGGAGACACAGTCCAGAGCACATGGCTGCAGCGAAGAGGGTGTTGCGCTACTTGTGCAGTACGTCGGGCATGGGGCTTGTGCTTGGAGGGCGGAGTCCAGTGGTCCTCACTGGTCACGCAGACGCTTCTTGGGCTGACGACCAGGCTACGCAGCGGTCGTCACAGGGCTACACCTTCAGCCTTGGTTCCGGCTCTGTTTTGTGGCGGTCTACCCGCTCGTCTTCTGTTCTCGGCTCCACTTGTGAGGTTGAGATCTAGGCCGGGGCCATGGCTGCACAGGAGCTACGCTGGCTCACCTACCTGCTGACTGACCTAGGAGAGCCGCCTCGTTCTCCTCCAGTTCTGTACGTAGACAACAAGGCTATGCTGGCCTTGTGTCGGGAGCACAGACTGGAGCACAGAACGAAGCACATCGCTCTTCGCTACTTCCTTGCTCGTGAGCTGCAGCAGCGCAGTAAGTTGCGTCTTGCTTACGTGGCCTCTGAGGCCAACACCGCTGATATCTTCACCAAGGCACTTGCGCCTTGTGACCATCAGCGCTTCTGTACTCTGTTAGGTCTTGTACCTACCTTGCCTCACTTGCTCACTTCTTGATTTTGCTTGTACTGTTTCATATATATATACTTGCTCTTGCTTGTTTAGCATTATATATATGTGTGTCCTCATGCATGTGCACTGGGTTTGTGGCCTTGAACTTGTGCTAAGAATGTGTGGTGACGTTGTGATCCACCCTGAGCTTGCTTTGCCTTGCTTTGCTTGACTGGTCTTGTGACCCCTTGTTCTCCCCCACTTTGCCTATGGGGGTGTGTCAAACTTATATGATCTAGCCTCTGTAGGCTGTAGCAGGTTAGATACTAAGGGGTACACAATTCTAGGGTTTCACATTTGTATCACTTTTATTCCTTAGTCAATCCATTCTCGTTCTAAGTTTCTCATAGTGGACCTCTAACACCCCCCCGCACTGGGATGCCCGAAGTGCACACTCCGAGATTCGAACCCGAGACTTCGCTCTGATACCATGCCACTAGACCACTGGGATAAAAGGGCTTATTTGTGTAGCGGGTAAGTGCGCTCATAACGCCCCAGGCCAACGTGCCTGTAACCTTTGTTAGGATCAATCGGGGATCACCAATGGACCTCTGACACCACCAACAATAGAAGAGATACTGCACTAGCTAGTCTAATATATAGTTACATATAAAAATACAATTTCTGACATCCCCCCTTAACTGCATACAAGCATAGCTAGTGAGGGGCGCTCTACCCTAAGTGCAGTCATCACCGTGCAGCAGCTTGAACCACTGTGGTTGAACCCCCACGGCAGGTGCCCGGGTGCGGTTGAACCCCCGCAACAGGTGCCGGTGTGCGCGACTCTGGGTGACCACGCCCAGAATCGACGGAGATAGTAACGAACCGCGAAACGACGAGAAAACATAATAGAAGAAACCTCTCTCTCTCTCTCTCTCTCTCTCTCTCTCTCTCTCTCTCTCTCTCTCTCTCTCTCTCTCGTCCCCCCTTAACCTCTCTCATCCCCCCTTAACCTCTCTCCTCCCCCCTCCCCCTACAGCAACTAGTGCTGCAGGAAGAGAGGAAGAGAAAGGGAGGGACGAAACCCTGGCGGTTCACACCCGCCACCCCCACATCTCCCCCTCCCCCCTCCCCACGATGGAAGCCGCGGAAGGGGGGGGCGGCGTGAGCTGCTGTCGGCGCTGGCGCAGGCGTTGATGCTGGCACATGCGCTGGCGCTGGCGCTCGTCGGAGGGGCTGGCACTGGCGGTCCGCACTGGCGCTCCGCGCTGGCCGTGGCGCTGGCGCTCGTCGCTGGCGTCTGCGCTAGCGCTAGCGAATCGCGGGGCGACGGGGGCGGGGAGGGGCCGCGGTCGACGGGAATGGGGGGCGCCGTGGCGACAGGAACCGGGGCGCCGCAGCGACGGGAAGCGGGGCGCCACGGTGGCAGAACGCGTGGCGCCGCGGCGATGCGAATCAGGGGCGCCGCGGCGACGAGAATCGGGACGGGGAGGTGCTTCGGGCGCGACCGGGCAGAGCGCGATGAGCACGACGGGACGGGACGCGTAGGCGCCTCGGACGCGACCGGTGACGGAAAAAAAATAGCGGATTCCGCGCTGAAGCGTGGGCGGGCCCATGTGCCTTGAAAAAAAGTAGGTCCTAAGACCGTAGTAGCTCTGATAGCATGTCAGGATTATGTTAGGAGCCTTGGGTTAAGGGAAGAGGAAGTTAGCCAACAAAGAAAGGGATTCACTATAGAGAGATACAATATATAGGGCAAGGTTGGTGGCCAAGAGGGTATACCACCAATAATAGAAGAGATACTATACTAGCTAGTCTAATATGCAGTTATATTTAGAAATACAATTTCTGACAGATAGAAAGGGTAGAGAGAAGGAAAGTGAAAAGGGAAAAAAAGGGGAAGAGGAAACTAAAAGAAAGGGAAAAGGAAAGGGAACGTACACCCCCAAAAAAACTGAAAGAACACCACATAAGGAACCCCGTCAACACACCCCATCAAAACATTCCAAGAAAACAACCTATCTAAAAATTCCCCACCCTCGAACCTTTCCTCTAGACCCGCATAACAACCAAGTGTGAAAATTCGAAGAGAGAAGAGGGCTGCACTAGCAAGAATGGGGATACAAATAGGAAACCCTAGAAGGGTTGTACTCGCTATAGAGCACCCCACTACAGGCTAGAGCATAAGATAACATTCTGACACACCCCCATAGCCAAAGTGGGGTGTAATCAACAGAGCAAGCAAAGCAGTACAAGCTCAGAGTGGATCACAATGTCACCACACATTCTGAGCACAAGTTCAAGAAGCAATAGTTTAAAGTTAACAATTATGAGCAAAGCTAGTGGTAGTCACAACGGGCAAGTGAGGAGGAGGAGAGAGAGTGAGAGGAGAGGAGATAGGAGGCAACGGATGAAGCTGCAGACACACGGGCAACAGGAGGCACACTGGCACAGCGGCTACCGGAACAACGCTCCGGAATACTGGAGTAACTGGCCCCGCGGCTAAAGTAGCGGCAGACGAGCAACGGACCCACGGGCGGCTGGCACAGCTGGCTACGACTGGGCTACCGGACGAAGTCCCCGGAATGCAGGTGCTGCTGGCGATACGACGGCAAACTCCATTCAGCTTCCCCAAACGATCCCACTCCCCCTAACACACACCCGCTGCTACACCCCTAGCTCCACTCTCACCCCACCCCCTAGCACCACTCCGTCGAATCCCATACACCCACCCCCCTCAGCGGTAGCTGCAGCAGTGGGAGACAGAGGAGGAGGAGGAGCAGGGGAGACTACACACCCGCCACCCCCCAGGGCGCCCGCGGCCCCCTCAGGTCGCCTCGACAGGCGACGGGAAAAAGGGGGGGGGGGGGGGGCGGTGCTGTAGGTAGGGCGACGGAGCCGGGCCGTAGGTAGGGCGACGGGACGACGGGGCCGCAGGTAGGGCGGCGGGGCCGAGGCCAGGGCCGCAAGTAGGGTCGCCCGAGCC